TATTACCGCCATATCCGGTAGAAAGCATTGATTACGCGACAATCAACGTCTCAAAGAGATCCAGTATACCGGAATTAGCTCGGGAACGTGAACCACCGCCACCACCACCATACAACAAAACTTGCAATGACTTTGTCCCGTTACCACCTAGACGAACTGATCCACCACCGCCGCCACCTTCGTACACATCGTCACGAGAAAGGATTCAAATACCACCACCCACCCCGCCGCGAAATGACGCGGTGACACCACGAGAACCTCCACCACCTCCACCGCCTTATCCCGATATGTCAGCGATGATTGGCTCTGTTCCAAAAGTAGTAAAAACTATCGATGACGTCGCCGGAAATATTGCGCCACCGAAACCACCACCCAGGATCCAACCTCCTACTTACCCGGGCGATAAAATGAAACCTACCCCTGTACATGCCCCGGTTGCCGCTCTCGTAGTAGGCCCAAACAATTACTTAGACGTCCACGCTTCCCGAGGCGGTCCAGTACTTCTACCATATTTGACAACACCACCGCCCCCGCCTCCTCTACCACCGCCGCCGATAGTACATCCGCGGCAACCACCACCGCCACCGCCGCCGCCATCAACGCAACAGCCAGCGTCAAGTTTGGCGACCGTTTATACGAGTCAGGTTTCTCGATCGCAGATAGAACAGTACAAACAACAACTTTACTCCGATGTTGATTATGTTATGTTTCCGCTCAAGGATCCAGCGGTGTCGAAGCAAGAGTATATTGACGCGAAACAGGGTTCTCTCCTAGCGGCGATGGCGGCTTATCCGCCTCCACCGTATCCTTCCTTTAGCAAGTCTTCGGTGATGTATCGTAGCACGCCATACCTTCCCGGTTCCTCTTTTTCCTCGCAATCCAAGTATGCGTCCAACCAAAATCTGAGCTCTAGTGACACAGGTAGTTCCAGCGGTAATTATCTTCAAGGCAATCTGAATAGTTACTACGCTGCTAGCACTAGTTCGCTATACAGTGGTGCAACTTCGTCTATTGGTAGCTATAGTCTCAGAAGAGAACCGTCCGTACCAACTCATCCTCACACGTTGAATGCGTTCTCACGGACCAGAAGTGACGAGAATATTCTCAAATGCTTGAATACCTTGTTTACAAACAAGATGCAGTCTCTACCGCAATCCAAGCATCGCAGATTACCGCCACCGCCGCCACCACCACCCTACGAAATACAGGTAATACGAAATGAAATATCAAATTTCTTGAATCCGTAATTAAGTTTTATTAAAATTAGGACAAAAGAACGTTTTGATATTTTTGTTAGATGTTTGCAGATATTCTACATTATATTTTTATTGTTGCTCTCTGCACAATTTTTTCAAATTTAAAAAAGATAGACGATTAGAATATAGTTATAAATATTTAATAAAATTATATACGTTTTATGTTTAATAGTAATACATATTATTTATATTTTAGAATCTTGATAAGAATCAACCACTGCCATCGTCCTCTTCAACGGCAACTTCTTCGTTGGTCGCCACAACAACGAACAAACTTAAAAAACTCATTAATGATACGGAAGAGAATGACGAAAAGAAAAGCGATGATATGCTAGACATCCGAACACTTCGCGAGAAAAGTCGTAACTTAGATTTACCATTAATTTCCGCGCTATGTAATGATCAATACCTGTTAAAGCAAACAAAAGCTTTTGTTCTGCCGAAGCATCCCAGCGAAATAACTTCCACTGCTGTATCCACGAAAAGTGGTACACGGAGTAGCAATGGCGCGACGTCTAGTAGGAATAAGTATCCGGTGAGTGGACTGTCAACGACACAAATTCATAAACCACTTAGAAAATCTTCAACAAGCACTCACAAGCATCCCTCTGAAGCAAAGAACAATGTCTATAAGATCAACGCCTCTTCCACAGGGGTCTCGACTATTAAAAAGGACTTTACAAGGGCATCTCATTCCTAACGCTTGTGTAGACACTCTTTTCTTATTCATAGACTTTTAGCTCAGGATGAAAGTACATTCCATAATCCCATAATCATTATCGCGCGCTACGTCGATTGAATGTAATTAATAGACGTACTAAAGGAGCTGTACGACCAATTAAATATCGTTTCCGCAGACCGTGCTTCTTTGATTCAGGGTGCCATTTTGTTTGCTCGCAGTTTTTTCTTTTTTTTTCTTTTCTCATAAATATGTAGAAGCTCTGACTAGTTTGTTCCAATATTATTAGATTGATATATTTGAACTTTTTGATATTAGGTGTATAACTAAAGCGATATTGTCTTTTGCTCAATTATATGTTGCGATGAAAATTCCATTCGTAAGCCCCGATAAAGGCGGCACTAGTCCCGCTCGTTAGGATAAATCATAGAGTTATTGGCCATTGCATACATGATAATTATAATGTGATAATCTGCCGAGAATTAGATAATTTTATATATTACACTGCTCGTATGTTTTAATTAGGAACGGTTTAAGAAATTCAATATTTTCGAGCGTTAATATCGTCTAATTACGATATGTGTTACAGAAAATTTAAGTAGTGTAACATCTCAAGAATACGAGTATTAGCAATAAATATATACTAAGATGTAATTATCTGAATGACATTTTATTCAATCTACAAAGCTGCTCAAGCAGTGTGTGTAATCCTCTATTTATTTCAAATATATAAGAATTAAATTATGATTAGATTAGAGTACAATTACGTACTTGTATATTGTTTTCGATGCGATAAGAATTTTATGACGAAAGTAAATATTGCGTAGGTGGCCAATAATGATATAGTTTACCCTATATCATAAAAAAGAGAAATAACTTTCTTACTTAATATAATCACAGAATACATATATATTTCGGATGAAAACATTTATGTGATTTTATTGTAATTAAAAGAATAGCTATTTTAGAATTTTCAGAAATAATATTTATTACCGAATAGTTTCCCGTTTCTTTTAATATTTTGATCGGTGCTTATTCTACAGCACACCATTATTCAAGGCATTTTATGTCATACACATAACAATGCTGTTAGTATAGCTAATCTTTTTTACTTTTATAATTGACATAATTTTCAATGTTACAAAGCTACCACCCAAATTGACTGACATAATGGAGAAAAATTAATCGCTAAATTTATATATAATATTTGTAAGTGCAATGCATATAATATTTTTAACATTTTGCTTTTTTAATTAATTTAAGATTAAAAAAAATTTTTATTTTGAACGTGTGTCTCGACATATCTAATTTATTCAGCATTTATATTATTTGTAATATTATAAAGTGTAAAATTAATTTTATTCTAGACATGTGAGAGATCGCATACTTTTATAAATAAAAGAGAGTGCAACAATTTCGTAAAATCGTTATAATACAAGAACAACAATTCAGTCGTAAAAATATAGCTTATTGTCACTAATTGTCACTAGATTTTAATATTATATTACAAATTTCGTATATTCTGTACATAATATATTGCGTAATATGATACTACGTGATTTGATATATAGACAAAAATCTCGTGTGTATGTATTCCATGCGCCATGTCAATTAATAATAAATAAATAAAATCTTTTGTAATAAAAAACAATTTGTGAAAAAATATAAATAAAGCGTAAATTGAACTGTTATATTTTATACACACAACTGCATTGGATATTTACTTTATTAATTAGACGTTCGAACATATGAGAAATTGAATACTTTCGACGATTCTCTTAATTAACACAACTATTTTTTATATTACTTTTTATGTTATTTTTGTAAGAAAACAAAATTGAACAATATAATACTACAGTGTGAAAAATATTTTTTAATTTCATAGTTAACTTTCTTATATTAGCTCTTTCAGTTAACTTCCATATTTCTATAAATTTTATTATTTTAATACCTTCAAAATTTTCTTTAATATATCTTACTTGAAAACGTTTATCATTTTATCAAATGTATAACAATATAATATATTTTTTAATAAGCATATGCATTATTGATCTTTTCTCTAATAATACACAATCTTTTGCTTTACCCGAAAGCACTATTATACACATAGAAATAAAATATTGCTAAGAAGAACGACCAATGAACGACTTATCTTTATGACGTAACGTGGTGATCACATGTTTGATACGATTCGTCCAGACGTATATTTACTGAAGGAATAGTTTGTATAAACTGTAGTACGTGCAACCTTCGCGCGGCTGCAATTACGGCTTGTCGTAAAGCGTGGGGCAGTCGATTGTCTTGTCCCTTCGTGGAAACTAACACTGTGTATTATTCTCGCTTTATTTCAATTAGAGTTTCTACACGCATTTTTTAACTATACTACTTCGACTGAAATTTGCAACGTTAATAATATATTCTGTCTGAATGTGCCGGATTCTTATGAATTTCACATGCATGGTAAGTGCACACTGCCTGTGGTATACTATATATTATATAATATTATATTAATTCAAGCAACCTCTTCAAAACTTAATTTAAAATTGAATGAAATGATAACAAACATTATGTTGATATGACATTATAATATTTTTTTTTTTATGCGTTACTATATTTACTTACCTAAAATTTGATAACCAAGGATATGAGTGAAATAACTTCTAAAAGATGTTGCACGCTGAATGCATCCTGCATTATTTTTTCCACACACATTCTAAAAAAATCTATATCCTATAAATGAAAATTTACGACGATTTGAAATTAATAAATACATATTTATAATTTATTATAAAATTAATATTCTCAAAAGTTAATTTTTAAGGAATCAAAGTATTCTCTTTTTATCGGAGTGACAATTTTGAAGTAAAAACAAACAAAAATAAAGGATTTGTTCAACAAAGGTCTTTATTTTAAGCTAAGTTGGAAAGATTTGAAGAGTTCTTGATATATATGTATAATAATATATAATTTAAGCATGAAACTAAAACATTGAAATAGTTTTTTTTCAACAAAAAATATAAATAGTTTTTAATAATTCTGTAGATATGAATAATAATAACTATTCTCGCGTGTACATATGCACTTATACTAGCACTGCAATCATCGTACATCTACTCGCATCACGTGTCGCATATCAGGCCTGCAATTACAGAGTTCGGTGTCGATATATTGTTAATGCACAAAGGGGAACAGTCTGGCCGCAAATAGGAAAGACAAGGGTGATCGTAATACAATCAGCGACGCTTTGTCCGAAACCACTGACTAAGATGACTGGTATTTGCAAAGTATAATTGTTTGCACGTGCGCGTTCTTGATCGCATATAAAAACGACAGCATTGAAGCACTAGACAGATTACTTGAGTTACATTTTCATTATTTTAAAATTTAAACATATAATTTCTGAAAAACTGTGATATTAGCTTATAAACTACTATTTAAACAAAATTATAGCAGATAAAATTTCTACTTTTTGCACTTATTTCAAGCTCGAAAAAGAAAGAAAGTACGTATATAGAAACTTTTTTTTAAAAATTAAAGATAAAAAATAATTTATGAATTATGAAAATTTAGTTTATGAAATTAATATAAGTAATAATAACGATACGGAGTAATAATAACCAGTATATTTAAATTAATATATTTTTTTCTTTGCATATTTTTTATATGCAATTCTCTTACAATAAGATAAGATAGGATAAATTATATAAAAGCGTGAACGTGACTCACCATCTTTGAGGATAATTGCAATCGGAGTTAAATAATGTGACGAAGTCGTCAGCTCGACAATAACTTGATGAAAATCTTTGACCTAGCGTTATGAGATGCCTTCATCTTCTCATCGGTTCTAATTCGTCTGGTTCTAATTCGTCCTATCAAAGTAATTCATAACCTCAGCTATGTCGCTATATGAGATATCACCAATTTAATATCTAGTTACATAACAATTTATTCACACAAATATTATATTCATGAGGACATCATTCTTCTGCCAAATTTATAATCATCGATTAAAAAAAAAGAGATTTAAATGTTTGTGAAACTGAAATAAAACAAAATTATCTAAAAAAATAAAATTAAATTAACACACAATATTCAGTATGTCGATTTTAGTTGTTTCTTCTAAGATAATGTTATAATCACAACATAATTTTTTGATCATAGGAAAAATATAAAAAAAGTATAGTTAATCATTGACTGATGTGATATCTTATGATTTTCATGACTTATTAAATAATATTTATGAGAATTTACAACTCACCTGCACATCGCGTTTTACATTGTACTTTCTTCGAGAGCTCACATGAAACTGCGCCAAATACACGAACGCAGGAGCGCAAGTAATCTCTGTTTTCGTGCTTAGAACTGTCTATAGAATCTAGAAACAGACGATTGTACACAAAATTAACGTGTAAATTGCATATAAGAGTTATTTGAGAATCATATGTGCTTTTAATTCAAAGTAAAAGCAATCACAATTATTTCCAAACTTCGATGTAGATTTGTACGATTACAAATACAAATTGCTACCAATTGGTTCTAAGAATAATTACACTCGCAAAAATATAGCTTTATAAAACAAAATAGAACAATTGAAGGGCTAAGAACCAGTTATTTAATAAAGAATGTTTAATTTAAAACATAAAAATAAAAATAATTACAAACGTTTCGATCGGGTCATTCTCAATGTTACAGTAAATACATTATTATAAAATCATTGGAAATCTACAAATTGCTATCTAGCACCACTATGAAGCAATAATTTGTAGATTTCTAATTATTTTATAATAATGTATTTACTGTAACGTTGAGAATGACCCGATCGGTGCCGAAACGTTTGTAATTATTTTTATTTTTATGTTTTAAATAAAACGTTATTTATTATATAACTGGCTCTTGGCCCTTCAATTGTTCTATTTTGTGTTATACTTAGAGCCTTATTATTATTTATTATAGCTTTATAAATTTCTATAAATATTGCACAATATAACTCAAATCTGGTCGAAAATAGTACATATATTAATTATACTATATTTTTTTCTATTTTATGAGAGAGAGAGAGAGAGAGAGAGAGAGAGAGAGAGAGAGAGAAATTTGTATATCTAATATATTATTTCAATTTTATGTTTTTTCTTTTTGCTAAGATTTTTGAAAAAAAGTATAAGCTGTAAATTACGGTAATTGATACATATGTTGGTTTGACGCATATTTTAAGTGTATTTCTCTATCTGCAGTTTACAGATTCGTATAATATTGTAAGCCACATAGGTAAATTTCCCCATAATTTCTCATAACAGGGTACGCAGCATCGACAAATACGCCAAGGAGGTTTTAATAACCTGCATAAAAGTGTATATATAGATATTATTATATGGAATGTTATTCAAAGAAATTGTTGATTAAAATTTTCCGAGAAAAATTAATTAAAAATTTACTTCCAAATTATTTTTAATTTCGTATATTTAAAAATAGAAGCATATATGTATATATGTTATACAATGTGTTGTAGGATTATAAAGAATTTTGCAACACATATAAACTTAACTTTTTTTATTTGAATATACTTATTAATATGAAAAATTTGTAATTATTTTTATGTGTAAGAATGTTACTATGATGCACTTACGTCCGTAAAACTGTTTAAAGAAAATATATAAAATTTTCCAGCAGTTAAGTACAGCATAACTTGGCCCCGAATCATACAAATTAGTAGACATTTCTTACAACCAAGTGGCATTTCGTACCAATTGCATTCATAGTATGCATCTTGCACGCTTATACACTAAACATAAAACAACCGAAGAGTAAATATTTAATATAAATATTGCAGTAAAATTTCTTCTTATTAATAATGTCAGACAAAATAGATTTGTTCCTCATTTTAATATCAATAGATTTCTTCTCGTTTCTGGAAATCTTAAAAAATTTTTACAATATATAAATAAGATAAGTATATATATGTATACACACATATACATTCGGACATTAAAAAGAGAAGCGAAGATGCTAAATGTAAAAAATGTAAGTAACGCGAACAAATTGCTTATTGTTCCTCCCAACAATACCTGTTGAGTTAGTTGGTCACCAATCAAACAATATCCAAAGAGCATGACAAGCGCAATAATAGCAAAAAATATAAAAGTGCAGCAGGTTGCTATTTCTGACACATCCAAGTTCTAAAAAGTATAAAATATCATAAGATTGCATATATATATATAATATATAACATTTTATAACTTCCAATCATAATTTTATTGTTAAATGAACATTTAAAATTAATTTTATTTTAACAAAAAATTTAGCACATTTGAACTCCCGTGCATTAGTAATAAGAATTAATAAGAGAGGACATTGGATAATCGGATACCATCCTTGTCCGATTATGCAGTTAGTCAGGAGAAAAAAAACGAGAGATGCGGTAATCTTTCTCGTTTTAATTCAATAAAGAGAAATTAAGTATAATGCAAATGAATGTGGTAATTACCGTAAAATATTATCACAAGTTTATATTCTACCAACTAGCATATATGACATTGCTAAATTAAACTTTTTATAATAATAACGGTATTTAATAATTATAACATACCATTATGACATAATATAATGAGATAGCTAGTACAACACTGTTGCCAACGAGTTCATCCAAAAGAATCAAATTGAAAGTATCGTCTACGGACTTCGCCATCCTTCAATCACCATAATATTTCCGACAGTATTATAAATATAGAGAAAGAATAAAAAAGCAAATTGACAATGAGACCTAGGCTGCGTTCCGTTATTCACTGCAAGTACTGAAAATCTTTAGTATACGTAACGCAAACTACAAATTTTCAGTACTTGCAGTGAATAACGGAACGCAGCCCTACTATGCGTTGGATACACAATTGCAATACTCCTACCATATTATCTTGAGATGCATTCGAACGAAGCTACGAATTCTGTCTACTATCATGGTTTGCGAGTATTCTTGAATATGTCTGATACGATATGCCAAAATGGACAATTCGCCGCAAATATGAAATACTAAAATGACCATTAGGCAAATCGCTGCCATATGACATACAGAAAAGTAAATCATTGGGAATAGACAGAGATACATCAATATGTATGTATGAGTACTGCTGATATCGAAAAATGGATGAATTCTATAGGGTAACATAAACAACTCTGTACTGTTTCGTGATGCTGAAAAAGACGATAGAACGAAGAAATGTTGACAAAAATAGACAAAAAACCAATTTTACTTTGAACAAGTACATTGGTAACAATTAAAATATTTAAAAAATATAGAAACTTTTCTATATCTTTTTTACTATGGTAGACTGATTAATAATAAAATAATGAAACAATGTGATGTAAAGCTTTATTTATTATCATATATACAGTATATGTATATTATAATATTTATTTATTATATAGAAATACATAATATATTTACAATATATTACAATAATAAGCAAGGAAAAGTTGGATTTTACATACCTTGATTAATAGTCAAGAGATACACAAGCGGTCTAAGATACAGCAATACAACCGTGATGAACATGCCAACAATTGAGCCATATGAGAATATCTTGGATATAAAATTGTAAGTATAGTAAATCCTTTCCTCTTCAAAATTCTCAAATCTGCGTTCAACCATATCCTTTTTTATTACATGAATTACGAGCTTTAGCAAATTACTGCAGCGTATCAGCCACAGTAATGGGAACGTCATGGAATAAGCCATCGTTTCCACGAGATTCATCACCATCAGCTCCAAATTGCCAAAAGCGTTGTAAAAATTGGTATACGCCATGATGAGATAAAGAGTGAAATGCGAGATATAAATCGCAAAACGAATGTATGTTTGTTTAAACGGCCATATTCCTCCAATGGAAAAGATCCGTTCTAAATGAACAAATAAGTCTTCGATATGGTCGACTTTATTCTGTAATGTTACGTTCTGAATAAAAGTCGTTGAAAGTAACTTTATTAAATAACTATACTAAATCGCACAGGTATTAAAGGAAATATGTTAATACAAGTATATTATATACGATCAGTATCAAACGCAGAGAAGCTGATGTCTTCTCCGGCGAAATATTTCATAATAGAACATTAACTTCTTACTTTCATAGCAAATTGAGTGTAGATTTTCATCAACTAATCTTCTGTGACTGTGATTCGTTTCGTCGAATCAGACTTGTGCAGCGATTATTCACGTGTGCGACCGACGGTTGAAACATATAATATCTGGATTCGACTTATATTTGTGTCTAATGCTTATCATTTCGTTATTTCAGATTCTATACATTTGATATATTGTAATAGTCGATCTTCTATCAAGTTGTTATTAGCCAGCACTTTTCTAGCGCACTAATTATCTTACCGTCTCATGAAAACTCGTTCCGTGATTCGCCTTCAAACCTTAGTTTCTATTTTTTTTGTATTCTGTACGATGTAGAAAAATTGCAGCAATTGCAATAAATATGATATAAAGAATCGTTAAACTTTTTAATGTTCCTAATAAATTCTTAATAATATTATTAGTGTAAACGTCTTCGCGTGCTGCATAAATCCGTTGTATTAACTAACGTCACCGTGGAAACAGTAGCTGTATATCATTATAAGCTACATGGTAAAATAAAACGTAACGGTTCAGTGAGTTTGAGTCTCTTTAAAAATTGAATATTTATGAAAAATTGATAAAATCAAGAAGTAAAATATTCACAAAAATAAAAATATTACATCATATTTCGACACATTTACATATTTCAATAATACAATATCTTATCAATAATATATAATATAACATCTTATTGTAATATAACAGAGTGAAGCTTTCTTATTATAAATATATAAATTATTCGAGTCACTTAATACAAATTAATAGCCTTAGAGACAAAAGTAATGATAATTGTTGATCACCGTTGATATTTGTAAAAATATCTTCGGCGTGCGAGTATACTTGTAAATACATATTACAGTAAAGTTTTTCTCCTGGAAGCATTTTTCTCCTTTACATCTTCAGTGAAGCAAAATATTCTGTTTGAACAAGTGACGAATAAGTCACGTTACGACGAAGTGATCTGCAAAATAAAGTCGGATATAGACTTCGAATCTTCGTTCGTTACGACTGTGGGGACGAAAGAGAGATAAATTTGAACGATGTCCAAAATCAACCTAACGCAAGCGATCTATAAAGATACCGATACTAACGTACTAGATGATCCCCTCTTCGTGGATAAGCACGTCAGCAGACATCTCGTCGACAAGTATATCTGCAGTATTTAAAGGTTAGAGTAGCACGATGCAGCAAAATATTCTTATTGTGATAAACAACAAAATTTTTGCAATTTTACAATTTTTTTATTAATTGTCGAGTTTTACCTAATCAATTATTAACATTTTTTTATTGTTTTACTTCAAATAACTTGATAATTATGATTGACTTATTAATGAAGTTTCTTGATTACAAATCATCTTGGGTGATAATCCCTAAACGCATTTAGATGAAGATACGTAACAATAATAATAACAGCAGAAATATGTTAGAAATGGTTTGAGATTACATAAGAAGATACTAAATTGAGCGATCTTTTTTAAAGTTATAATACATATGAATCAATTGAAGTGTATTAATATTTTTCGTTATTTCAGATTCTATACATTTGATATATTGTAATAGTCGATCTTCTATCAAGTTGTTATTAGCCAGCACTTTTCTAGCGCACTAATTATCTTACCGTCTCATGAAAACTCGTTCCGTGATTCGCCTTCAAACCTTAGTTTCTATTTTTTTTGTATTCTGTACGATGTAGAAAAATTGCAGCAATTGCAATAAATATGATATAAAGAATCGTTAAACTTTTTAATGTTCCTAATAAATTCTTAATAATATTATTAGTGTAAACGTCTTCGCGTGCTGCATAAATCCGTTGTATTAACTAACGTCACCGTGGAAACAGTAGCTGTATATCATTATAAGCTACATGGTAAAATAAAACGTAACGGTTCAGTGAGTTTGAGTCTCTTTAAAAATTGAATATTTATGAAAAATTGATAAAATCAAGAAGTAAAATATTCACAAAAATAAAAATATTACATCATATTTCGACACATTTACATATTTCAATAATACAATATCTTATCAATAATATATAATATAACATCTTATTGTAATATAACAGAGTGAAGCTTTCTTATTATAAATATATAAATTATTCGAGTCACTTAATACAAATTAATAGCCTTAGAGACAAAAGTAATGATAATTGTTGATCACCGTTGATATTTGTAAAAATATCTTCGGCGTGCGAGTATACTTGTAAATACATATTACAGTAAAGTTTTTCTCCTGGAAGCATTTTTCTCCTTTACATCTTCAGTGAAGCAAAATATTCTGTTTGAACAAGTGACGAATAAGTCACGTTACGACGAAGTGATCTGCAAAATAAAGTCGGATATAGACTTCGAATCTTCGTTCGTTACGACTGTGGGGACGAAAGAGAGATAAATTTGAACGATGTCCAAAATCAACCTAACGCAAGCGATCTATAAAGATACCGATACTAACGTACTAGATGATCCCCTCTTCGTGGATAAGCACGTCAGCAGACATCTCGTCGACAAGTATATCTGCAGTATTTAAAGGTTAGAGTAGCACGATGCAGCAAAATATTCTTATTGTGATAAACAACAAAATTTTTGCAATTTTACAATTTTTTTATTAATTGTCGAGTTTTACCTAATCAATTATTAACATTTTTTTATTGTTTTACTTCAAATAACTTGATAATTATGATTGACTTATTAATGAAGTTTCTTGATTACAAATCATCTTGGGTGATAATCCCTAAACGCATTTAGATGAAGATACGTAACAATAATAATAACAGCAGAAATATGTTAGAAATGGTTTGAGATTACATAAGAAGATACTAAATTGAGCGATCTTTTTTAAAGTTATAATACATATGAATCAATTGAAGTGTATTAATATTTTTTGTGCAACTTGTGTAATAACTTTATATATATATATATATATATTATATAAAGTTATTACACACACACATATATATATACATATATATAAAACAGCAAACAATATTTCAAAAAAACAATTTACAATTTTTGAACAACAATAATGCTTCTTTCTCTCTTCTCATTCTTTATTATAAATTATACATTTATCTCTATTTGAGCAATTTATAAATTATGTTTGCACACGCTTCCAAAAATTATTGCTCCTCCATGATGTTATAAAAAAGAACGTAATACTGATAAATATCCCATGGATGTTTTCAAAACCTGTTGAAACAACTTATTTCTTAACAACGTTTTCGTACTCTCATACTAACAGCGATAATATTTCAAATGTTCAAAGTTAAGCGAAGCCTCTTTATATAAAAAATGTTATAAATGCATGCAAATCATCAGCTTACATCAGTTAAAGTGCTGAGGCAAAACATTGTGAATTTTCCAGCTATCAGGCAGAGCGGTCTTTGCGATCTTGCCATGCATAGTATTAGCATTTGCGCATTATTCTTTGACATATCATACCAACGGCAATTATAAAACGCTTCACACACTTTAGCACTCTGTGAAAAGATTATTTACACTACGAAAAAACAATAAAAAATCGTGCATAGGTATCAAACACAAATTTTACTGTGTATATACATATTATATGTAGCTATTTTTTAAGTCTCATTTTATATTTCCATATAAAATTACCTCTGTCAGAAGGTTTTCACCAACAATACAATGAGCATAAAGTACAAGCAGAACTAAGAATTTGTATAATAAGAATTTGATTAAAAGTGGAACAAGTACTCCTGCATCATCATCCTTATTTAAATTCTATATTCACATAAAATTAAAAATTAAAATAATTAATAATAAATTGTAACTGAAAAAAAACTTAATAAATAATATATTTAAAAAATTCTTAAATAACTTTTTATATGTTACAAATTAGAGTTTTTTAATGCAAAATATAAATACAAATACATATGTATTTATGTAAAAATTTTAATAGATTATTTTACTAGAAACAATATTATTAATGCTACGAATTGATTCTTTTGCATAATATTATTCTAATTAAAGTTGTGAGATACGATTATTTTTACATATATATATATCAAGGCAAAAATTTATCTTATTTTCTTATACCAAAATTATTTTTAAATACTTAAAAGTATCAAACATAATGTTTTTGTGTGATTATCATTACATATTGACTTACTGTTAAAATTTGATAACCGAGGATGCAAACGAGAGCAGTAGCTCCTAAAAGATGTGCCAGCAATGTTGCGCTAAATGCTTTTCCTATTATTTTTCCCATTCTGAAAGAGTTCAAGTTTTATATAAATATAATTCATTTAAATAAAGATTGCTAATATATAAGAAGTTTATACGAAATTTCAATTACTAAGATAAACAGTTCTAACAAGAAAATACAATCGAATATCCGCTTCGATTTTATAATAATTGTATAATAAACTTCAGATATGTTAAAATATACAAACAAAAATAATAGATTAAGAAATAATAGCCAATTAAGAGCCAACACAAGAACGTCGTGTGTAAAATTTTTAATTCAATAAATACAAAGTAATTATAAACGTTTCGACCCTATATTCGGGTCCTTATCAATATATAAATAAAGATATTAATATAATAAAATCGCAAGCATAAGATGTTGTTCAAACTATCAATTCCTGTTCATCTAAGTGAAAGCTTAACTGTAAAAA